TGCGAGAGAGAGAGAGAGAGAGAGAGAGAGAGAGAGAGAGAGAGAGAAAGAGAGAGTTGACAAGCCCCTTTGCACGGACTTTATGAAGACGTCTTTTCATTCTCGTTTCATTCTTTTTTTTCAGACGGCAGCGAGTCGAAAGGTTATCGGAATGAAAGCAGCACGTCAAGTCATGGAAAATAGCAACAGTCGTCATAACGTGGGGGTGAAGCTGTCGCGATCCATTCCTTATCTTGTTTTCCGGCTTTCAGAATGGACGTAAGCGTTACAAGAACATAATTCAGACCAAGATCATTTAAGCTTTAGATTTCGCTCGGTACTTTAGGTACCGACAAAAGCAACACGGGATATGATAGAGATATAGAAATTTAAGAAAGGTACATAGAGTGGTGCACGTGCTGGTATACCAATAACAACACCGGTTTCGGTCAGAAAGGTGAAAAAGAAGAGTGAACTGGGACAGCAAAACAAAGTTGGAGCAACAAAAACAAGTAAGAATTGAGAAAAGTGTTTTGACTCTTCAGAATTTCGTGTACTGAAAGGAATAACGAAGCGAGAACTAGAGCAAGTACTAGAACAAGAAATACAACACGTGTGAGAGCAACAGCAGTAGCAGCAGCAGCGGCAGTAGTAGTAACAGAAACAACAACAGCAACAACAATTACAACATTAATAAATGCAACAATAACAAGAGCAAAAACAAGAACAAGATCAAGAACAAGAACAACAACAACAACAACAACAACAACAACAACAACAACAACAACAACAACGACGACGACAACAACAACAACAACAAGACAAGCAAAACAGAGAAGAATAGAACATAATACAAAACATCGGAATTTCGGAAAGCATGGTTTGATAAAAGAATACAAAGAATAATTTCGTTTGGAGCTCGGAAGACTCAAAACAGATTTCGCCCCTTTGAGGAGACAACGCTGTAAGCACAATGGAAAGGATTAAAATATTCTGTTGGGTCCTCGTCTTCTGCAACTTGTTGACGATCGGAATTGAAGCTGGTGAGTTTTCTGTAACCTTTTTGTAACCTTTCTTTGCAGCAAGTCAACAATGATGAACTGTTGTTGCACAACATTAGAAACGGGAGGGAGGTG